GACTGTCAATCGTGGCGGTGGCTTACCCGCGCGTGTATCGAATGCGCCATCGGACAGTGCCAGTGCTGGTGGGACGGTGAGAAGAGACCTATCTTATGCGATGGCTACGCGGAAAACTCGCGATAGGATGGCGGTTTCCGGGAGAGATTCTCGGGCTCGTCCCAAGTCTGGGGCCAGAACTACGGGTCCTCCCAAAAAGACAGCCCGCGCGGGAACCCGAAAGCGGAACTCTGCAGTTGTTATGATCCGCTGTGACGAGGAAGGTCCGTCATATGCGGACGTAATGGGTGAAGCGAGGACCGGTGTTCCGCTGGAGGAATACCGCCGATACTAGGATTAGGCGGGCGCAGACTGGTGGTCTTCTGGTGGAGATCCCAGGAGAGGACGCTGAAGCGAAAGCGGATTCCTTGGCAGAGAGACTCAACTCCCTTTTCAAGGATCGAGAGGGAGTGAAAGTGGTTTGTCCGGTCAGGAGGACCGAGTTTCGTCTCCTCGATCTGGACGAGTCGGTGACGGCCGAGGAGATAAGGGCGGCTGTTGTGGCACGTGGAAAGGCGCTACCGAACGACGTTCGCGTTGGCTCACTGAGGCCCGGTAGGGGCGGCCTAAACAGTGCGTGGTTGCAGTGCCCTGAGACTTGCGCGGATCTGTTGCAAAGAGACGGAGGACTTCGTGTGGGTTGGTCGCGAGTGCGATTGATACCGCTGGCCAAACGAAAGTTGCAGTGCTACCGTTGTTTCGCGGTCGGACATACGAGAGCCAACTGCAGGAGCACTGTAGACAGAAGTAGCGGGTGCTTCAACTGCGGTGAGGAGGGGCCCACGGCCGTTCGTTGTCGGGCTTCGCCTCACTGTCCCGTCTGCTCTGCCAGAAACCTTCCGGTTGGGCATAGGGCTGGAGGGAAAGAGTGTATTCCCTACAACAGTAGGTGCATGTGACCGTGGCTGCTGGGTCGGGTGACAAGGACAGGGACGTGGTGCGTAACGAACATGTAGATCCGAGTGTTCCTGCGGCGGAAAGTGTTTCCCCTGTGGAGGAGGGGATATCGATGGACACGTCCAATGGCTAGCATTGGACAAATAAATGTGAACAGATCAAGACCTGCGCAGGACTTAATCGCACGGGTGTGCGTGGAGGAGAGAGTTCGGTCTCGTGGCGGTTTCGGAGCCGCATTCGGTCCGGCGGATGTTGGCTCTTCTCTTCGAATGTTCCGCCGATGGCTGCGCTGGCTTGGCCACAGTATTCGAATGTGACATGTTCTCCTCTTTTCAGGGGAGAGGGTTTTGTCGCGGTGGAGTGGGGAGAATTAGTGGTTTTTAATTGCTACTTCTCCTCCAATCTGCCGGATGCCGAGTTCGGGAGAGTTCTGTGTGATCTTGGTGCGCGTGTACAGTCGTGTGATTGCAGACCTCTACTCGTGCTCGGTGACTTTAATGCTCGGTCTCCTGCTTGGGATCGGGGGGAACCCAATCGCAGAGGGAGAACTCTAGCCCGTTGGGCGGCTGGCCTGGATTTGATTCTTCTTAACGAAGGGTTCGTGCCTACGTGCGTGCATCCGAGGGGCGTATCGTGCGTGGACCTCTCGCGGACCTCGGCTGCGGCCGCCAGGCACATTTGTAACTGGCGTGTTGCGGTGGACACCGAGTCCCTCTCGGATCACCGTTATGTGTTCATGGAGGTGCTAGAACGGATAGTGGGCCCGCTTAGAAGGGTCGCAACCGAAAAACATTTCCCTCGGTGGTGTGTCCGTAGGATCAATGTAGACTTGTTGTGCGCGGCGGCCAACGTAAAGGCATGGTCTTCCCTTTCTCAGAGGGACATGTCGGCGGAACAATTGGCCGATAGAATAGACACTGTGCTAAAAGAAATCTCGGATGTCGCTATGCCGCGTCTTAAAACTACCGATAGACCACCGGCCTACTGGTGGAATGAAGAGATCGCGGATCTTCGCGTTCGATGCGTGCGTATCCGAAGGTGCATTCTGAGACGGCGTCGTAAGTACCAGGACACTGAAATGATTCGGAGTCTCTGGGACGGTCTACGCGAGGCGAAAAAACTACTTAAAAATGCGATCAGAAAATCGAAACTGACTCTGTGACAGGGTCTGCTCGAAACGCTGGATGCGGATCCCTGGGGTGTGCCGTATCGCGTCGTCCTCGATAAGCTGCGTAGGGCGTCTAGTTTGGTGGAGTCTCTTCCTCCTGCAATAGTGAGGGGCGTGGTTGGAGCCTTGTTTCCGCACGAGGCGGGGGATTTCGATCTGGATCCCTGTCTCGTTGGGTGGGACGAGGCCCTGGCTGTGACTGGGGAAGAGGTTTCCGTGGCTATTGCCAGGATAAATGTTGGTAAGGCTCCGGGCCCTGACGGGATATCGGGCCGACTCGTAAAGGACACCTCGATTGTCCTTGCGCGAATGTGGACGTCTTGCTTTACGGCATGCCTCAGGGAGGGTGTATTTCCGGCGCCGTGGAAAATGGCGCGCTTGGTGCTGTTGAAGAAGCCCGGCAAGCCTGACCTCGCTCCCTCATTATACAGACCGATCTGCCTGTTGAGCGAGGCGGGCAAGCTCTTCGAGAGGATCATATGTATCCGTGCGTTATTTGGACGTGTCCGGAAGTATCGCGGAGGCTCAATACGGTTTCCGACCAAACAGGTCGACGATAGACGCGATCAGGAGACTCCGTATTGATCGTGGATGACGCGGTGCGGAACGGGGGCGTGGTATTGGCTGTGTCATTTGACATAGCCAATGCTTTCAACTCCCTCCCGTGGCCGGTCATCAGGAGGGCCCTTGTGGAGAAGGGGGTTCCGGGGTACCTCCGGCGCGTCCTTGACGGATACCTGTCGGGCAAGTGGCTATCCTACATCGATAGGGACGACCAGTGCGTAGAGTCCTCTATGAGGTGCGGCGTTCCGCAGGGTTCGGTCTTAGGACCAACCTTGTGGAATATTGGATACGATTCTGTCTTGCGTATCGGTCTGCCGGTGGGGTGCTCGTCGATTTGTTACGCGGACGACACCCTTTTGGTTGTGAGGGGTCCGTCTTTCCGCGAGGCGGTTGTCAGGGCTGAATTGGGGGCAACCGTCGTAGTGAGGGCGATTGAACACCTGGGCTTGAAGGTGTCCATAAAAAAGACGGAGGCTGTGTCTTTTGCGTGGAAGGTGCCACGTGCGAGCCTACGTATTGGAAATATGGAGATCGAGGTAAAGAGCTCGATGAAATATTTGGGCTTGGTCTTGGACTCAAGATGGACCTTTAGGGAACATTTTCGGCGTCTCGTCCCTAAGATCCTGGGCATGGCGGCGTCCCTAGGCAGGTTAACGGCCAATATCGGTGGCCCGGGAGAGTGCAGGCGGAGGGTGTATGCGACTGTTGTAATGTCGGTCGTTCTATACAGAGCCCCTGTCTGGGCACAAGCGATCGCGACTGACGGGGTCACTCGGCGTGCTGCGGCGAGGCTGCAGAGGCAGCTGGCGCTTCGAATTATCCGAGGCTACAGGACCGTCTCGTACGAAGCATCTTTGTTGCTGGCGAGGCTGGTCCCATTTGATTTACTGGCCGATCGGCTGAGGCGGTCATATCTGAGGCGGAGGGCTCTCATTGAACGGGATGGTTTTGTCGCTCCCAGAGCCATATCCGGGATGATGAGTTGCGTAACTCCATCGCTAGATGGAGGAAACGGCTGGAGGAGCTTCCGCGGGATGCACCTGGGGCTGCGGTCCGAGGGGCTCTCGTGGGAAGGATAAGCGCTTGGATGACGAGGGCTCATGGTGGCCTCACGTACAGAATGACCCAAGTCATTGTGGGTCACGGGTGTTTTGAGGCGTACCTGCACGAAATCAGGAAAAATGAGTCACCGATTTGCCGACACTGCCGGGCGGCGATAGACAATGGTGTGCACATCCTCCTCCGCTGTCCCTCGTGGGATGCGGAGAGGGAGAACTTGTTCGCGGCTCTCGGTCTGGATCTAGATCTAGACTGAGAGTACGCTCGGGTGATCGAGGCCATCATGGGCTCTTCTGTAGCGTAGACGGCTTTCGCGCGGTTTTGCGAAGTCGTCATGAGAGCGAAGGAGAGGGCAGAGAGGGACCGTAGGAGGGATCGGAGGGCTCGCGTGGTACACGCTTGTGCCGCCATCTCTCTTGTGGGGCTCTGACTTCTCGTAGCGGTTAGAATAAGTACTTATGTAAATATTGTATATATATTTAGCGTTTTAGTTATATAAATAGGCGTTTCCGCATGTGCGGTGGGAGCCATCCCGCGAGCATTTCGGGGGCACCCTGACGTAATGCCTGTAGGCGGTTCCGAGGTGTTCCCACTTATGCCTTGAGGTATTGCTTGGACCAGGGGGAGTTTTTTAGTCGGTAGGCGGCCGTTCCGGTGTATTCTCGTGATCACGGGGCGGTCGAATCCGGCACACCCAGTGGTGCGGGCCGCTGGGCATCTCCCCCCCCCGATGGGTGTCCCTTGCGGGTCCCCCTCGGGAGAGGGCGCTGCGAAGATTTTTTTTCCTCCTACGCAAATAAAAAAAAAAATGCTTCAAAAAAAGCTACAAAAATAAAAAGAAATGAACGGAATCAAACAGGAAATTTCCCAATAAAGTCAGATCCTTTGGATAATTTGGAACAATGTGTTATTACTTGTATAGGTTTAGACTATGTGCAAGATTCTGTAATTTGTCCCGATAGTACACCAGAAGAAGAGGTATATGTGTATGAGACATATGTTTATTTTTCTTGTAGTGTGTAATAAGAATTATTTTTGCTGTACTGTAAAATGGAATTTTGCCCAAATTTAAAAAAATGCCTAAATACTACATATGTCCAAAATGAGGACATAAGACATCTTAAAAAGATGATTTAAGATTAAGGCTGACAGCACACGATGCTTGTTTTCCTATTGAATTGCTAACTGAATTAGAATCTTGCCACCATTTTGGCTGCAGTACTGTCAGTGCCAGCATTGCAGCCAATACAGTGGCAAGATTCTAATCTAGCTAACAATTCAGCAGAAAAACAAGCATTGTGTGCCACAGGCTTAAGTCTCGATTTTAACATGCATATAAACATCTAAACATAGCTTTCCAAACACCAAATAATCTTTCTACACATGATCTAGCGCTGCATAAATTATTATAGCAAAATCTTGGCGAACTTGGTATTTCATTTTTTAAAGTCATCAGCCAAGATTCCAAGCCATAACCATCATCACCTACAAAAATTATTTATTATTTAATACTTATAGTAAATAAATATAGTAATAGTACAGTAAATAAACTGTAGCTTACCAATCAACCACGTATTACGTTCTCCGTTTCTAAAACGCTGTTCCATAATGTGACGTATTGGAGAATTTGACCAAATATATGCGTCATAACATGCTCCTGGATATCATGCGTTTACATTTAAAATTTTCAAATCAAAATCGCAAATCTAAAAATATTGTGATAAAAATATTTTAAAATAAAATTAGAAATTCCCAAAATCAACAGCTCAGTAAGAGAAGTAACTTCATTTAACATAATACATACTTGCACATTGAGTGATCACCCCAATGGTTGACGTATGCTTCTTCATGTTCTTTTGATGTTATAATATTTATGTAAATGCAGTCTATTGCTTCAATAGCTCCAATGAATGGTTGAGGTACGATTCGAAATTTTTCTTGCGCTATATAATGCTCTTGATTAGTTATAGGAAATCTAACCCATTGTCGAAGAAGAAGGTCATTAATTGCATTGTTTACTGCTCTTACACAATGGCTAACAGATGGTTGACTTGATACTATATCCTACTGCTCCGCTATTGAACTCTGATAGCAGCTAATTGCATAAAACCTCAAAGCAGTTAAAATCTGTGAAAGATAATATATATTTAATATTTAATGTTAGAAATTATGAGCCATATATTATAAATGTATATATAAATTTTATACATAATGTATATACGAGTACATTTGCTGTTCAAAATCATATATGCATATGTTTGCATGTATTTGCGTATGTAAATAATATAAACTTTTTTAAAAATAACTTGATTTGTAACTTCTAAAATAGAATATTATATATAT